GATCTTAGCTGAAAGCAAAGAATACCAGAAACATGTTTACCTGTGCTTTATTGACTATGCAAACACTGTCCATTGTGTGGATCATGACAAGCTATGAACAGCATTGCAATGTATGAGTATTCTGGAACACTTAAGTGTGCTCATGAAGAACCTGTACATAGACCAAGAGGCGGTTGTTCAAATAGAACAACAGGACACCAATTTTTTTTATTTTTATTTTTTTAAATTAGGAAAGGTGTGCGCCAGGGTTGTATTCTTTCACCATACTTATCCAATCTGTATACTGAGCAAATAATCTGAGAAACTAGATTGTATGAAGAAAAACACAGGAAGACTCATTAACAGCCTGTCATATGCATATGATACAACCTGCTTGCTAAAAGTGAAGAGGACTTAAAATACTTACTGATGAAGATCAAAGACCACAGCCTTCAGTATGGGTTGCATCTCGATGTAAAGAAAAAAAAAAAAATCCTCACCACTGGACCAATAAACATCATCTATATAAATGGAGAAATGATTGAAGTTATCAAAGACTTCATTTTTCTTGGATCAACCATTAACACTCATGGAAGCAGCATTCAAGAAATCAAATGACGTATTACATTAGGCAAATGGGCTGCACAAGACCTCTTTAAAATGTTGAAGAGCAAACATGTCAGTTTGAGGACTAAAGTGTGTCTCACTCAAGCCCTGTTACTTTCAATAACTTCATATGCATGCAAAAGTTGGACAGTAATTTAAAAAGATTGTACAAGAATTCATGCATTTAAGTTATGGTGTTGGAGGAGAAAATTCAAAGTACCATGGACTGCCAAAAGAACAAACAGATCTGTGTTGGAAGAAGTGCAGCCAGAATGCTCCTTGGAAGCCAGGATGGCCAAACTTCATCTCTCATACTTTAGAAATATTGTCAGGAGGGACCAATCACTGGAGAAGGATATCATGTTTGGTAAAGTGGAGGGTCAGAGAAAAAGAGGAAGATCTTCAATGAGATGGATTGACACAGTGGTGGCAGCAATGGGCTCAGGCATAGCAACGATTGTGAGGTTGGCCCAGGACTGGGCAGTGTTTTGTTCTGTTGTGCATAAGGTTGCTATGAGTCATGACACTTAACAACAACAACAAACATCTTTCTGGTATTCTCTGCTTTCAGTAGAGAACCATCTGATATCAGCAATGATATCCCTTGTTCCATGTCCTCTTCTAAAGCTGGCTTGAACCTCTGAAAGTTCTCTGTCAATGTAAGGTTGCAGCTGGTTTTTTTTATTATTATTATTACCTTTTGCAAAATTTTACTTGCATGCGATATTAATGATATTGTCCGATGATTTCCACATCGCATTGGGTTACCTCTCTTTGGAATGGGCATAAATATGGATCTTTTCCAGTCAGTTGACCTGCTAGTTTTTTCCCCAAATTTCTTGGCATAGATGAGTGAGTGCCTCCAGTGTGGCATCAGTTTGTTGAAAGATTTCAATTTGTATTCCATTAATTCCTGGAGCCTTGTTCTATGCCAATGACTTCAATGCACCTTGGACTTCTTCCTTCAGTATCATTGACTTTTGATTATATGCTACATCTTGAAATGGTTGAATATCAACCATTTCTTTGTGGTACAGTGACTATATATTCTTTCCCTCTTCTTTTGATGTTTTCTGTATCATTCAATGTTTTGCCCATAGAATCCTTCAATATTACAAGTTGAGGCTTGAATTTTTACTTCCATCCCTTCAGCTTGAGAAATCCTTTTCTTTTCTAACTCCAGGTCTTTACACATTTTGTTATAGTATTTGACTTTGTCTTCTCGAGCTGACCTTTGAAATTTTCTATTCAGCTCTTTTACCTTCTCATGTTTCCCATTTGCTTTAGCAACTCTATGCTGGAGAGCAAGTTTCAGACATTCATTTTGGTCTTTTCCTTCATTCCTATCTTCTTAATGACCTTTTGCTTTCTTCCTGTATGATGCTCTTGATGTCATCCCACAACTCTTCTGGTCTCCCCAGTCTTTAGTATCTAATGCATCAAATCTGTTCTTCAGATGAGCTCTAAATTCAGGTAGAATATGTTCAAGTTCATATTTTGGTTCTCGTGGACTTATTTTACTTTTCTTCAGCTTCAGCCTGAACTTACATTTGAGCAATTGATGATCTGTTTCATAGTCTGCCATGGCCTTGTTTTGTCTGATGATACAGAGCTTTTCCATTGCCTCTTTCCACAGATGTAGTCACTTTGATTTCTGTGTATCCCATTTGGTGAGGTCCATGTGTCTAACGTCTTTTATGCTCTTTTAAAAAGGAATTCGCAGTGAAGAAGTCATTGGTCTTGCAAAATTCTATTATGCCATCTCCAGCATCGTTTTTATCACCAAGGCCATATTTTCCAACTATTGATCCTTCCTGTTAATTTCCAACCTTTGCATTCCTGTCACCAGTAATTATCAACACATCTTGATGGCATGCTTGATCAATTTCAGACTGAAGAAGTTGGTAGAATTCTTCAGTTTCATCATCACTGACTTTGTGGTTAGTGAGTAAATTTGAATAATAGTGGTATTAAGTGGCCTTCCTTGTAGCTGAATGGATATTATCCTATCACAGACAACACTGTACTTCAAGACAGATCTTGATATGTTCAATTTATCATTCCTGGCATAATAACCCATGTGATTGTCAGATTCAAAATGGCCAATACCAGTCTATTTCAAGTCACTACTGCCAGGATATCAATGTTTCTGTGTTCCATTTCATTTTTTGACAATTTTCAATTTCTCTAGATGTGTACTTCATATGTTCCATGTTCTGATTATTAATGGATGTTTACAGATGCTTCTCTTCATTTTGAGTTGTGGCCCATCAGCAAATGATGGTTCCAAAAGCTTTACTCCATTTATGTCATCACGCACAACTCTACTGTTAGTAGACAGATTTCCCCAGTCATATTTTGAGTGCCTTCCAAGCTGAGGGGCTCAAATTCCAGCACTATACCAGACAACAATATTCTGATGCTCTTCAACATGTTTCAATATTCTATTCTGGTGCTGACAGTGTCCCACTGCTATTCATAAAGTTTTCAGTGACTAAATATTCGGAAGTAGTTCATCTCCCCTTCTTCCTAACCTATCTTCTCCTAGAAGCCCACCTGAAACCTGTCTACTATGGGTGATCCTGTTGGTATTTAAAATACCAGTGGCATAGCTTCCAGAGTCACAGCAATACATAAGCCATCACAGTACCATAAGCTGACAGATGATGAGTGGTGGAAACTAGGAATGATAGTACAAAACTCCTGGGATGTTGTCAGAATTAACAAGAGTTAGTATGTAGGAATGATTAGGAGAATGCCTGGCATATTGTTCTTAAGTGCCATTGAATTGGTTCAAACTCATAGAGACAGTGTATAGGGTCTCCGAGTTTTAAATCATTGCGGGAGCCAAAAGCCTCATCTTTCTTCTGCAGAGAGGCTGGCAGACTTGAACCGAGGACCTTGTGGTTCGCAGTCAAGTACTTATCATATGGAGCCACCAAACTTCCAGGGCATATAAATGCTCAATAATTATTGTTGTTGTTGTTAAGTGCCATCATGTGGCACTGCAGGATAATGTGTTGCACAGCAAGGTTGGTTTGAACCTCAAGGTCGGCGGTTCAAATCCACCAGCAGCTCCTCGGAAACCCTAGACAGGGTTGCTACGAGTCAGAATCTACTTGACGACACTTAACAATAACAACAAGTTATATTGTTTAATACAACAGCAGTATTGTATAATGTAAAGCGACCCAGGTTCTGGAGTCATTCTGAGTTTGTATCCTGTATCCACTAAATACTGGCAATATTTGTCAAATCGTTTAGCATCCTATGGCCTCAATTTCTACATGGATAAATTGGGAAGAGTACCACTTACCTCCTAGAATGACTGAGAATTACATGAGAAGCCATTTTAACTGTTTAGTACCCTGCCTGGCAGATTAATAAGAAAGTAATTCAACATAACCCGGCTGTCTTTCTCTCCTAGACTCCCTTGAAACCTAGCATAAGTCTTCGGCCACATGCAGGTATGCAAGCAAAGGAAAAGCAGCTGGCTCCATTCTATCTCTTGACCACTATCTATTGCTATTGCAGAAGCTGAATAATTTCGTTGACACTTTTCAGAACCTAGAGAAGCCAACTCTCACTCCCTCAACAAGAGGTGTACTTTGATGCTGATAATTATTTATTTTCTTTAAAGTACTTAGACTATAAGTATGCATTTATGACATTATGGTAGCTTAGTGGTTACGAATTGGGCTATGAACCTCAAGGTCAGCAGTTCGAAATTACCAGCTGTTCCGCGGGAGAAAGATGAGGCTTTCTACTCCTGTAAAGATTTACAGCCTCGGAAACCCTGTACAAGGTCGCTATGAGTCAGAACCGACTCCATGGCACATAACAATAACAACAACATTATTTAATTACTGAGTTCCCTGTCTTGAATAGCGCCAGGCACATAATGTTATGTGCCGGTGAGTCATAGTGATGAAGCGGCAGGTGAGTTTGAACTGCCGAACTTATGGTTCATACCCGACCTTGAGGTCCAGTGCTTTATCCCACAGCACCACATTACAACAGGCATTCAATAAATACTTATTGAAGGGACCATGTGACAGATGAACTGGAGCTGTCAGTGAACCAACAGTTCGCTGCTAAAGATGTTACCTGTACCCTTGAGACGGAATAGGAATGAAACATGGATGCATGGAAGACCCTTCCATTTGACTTGAGTTCTTGCTTTTCTTGGGAACAAGGGAGGCCAGAGGGCCCGGGCCGAGCGCAGCTCCCTCCACTAAACGCTGCTAAGTAGCACCGTCCACAGAAAGTAATGATGTGATGAAAAGTTGCAAAGCTAGGGGGCAGGAGAAGACAAAAAGGCTTTAGGCCAAGTTCTTCCTTAAGCTCCCCGCCGGTCGTTCGAAGTTATTTTCACTTAGCCGCCGGAGGGCGCTGCGCACATAGGCTTAAACTCTATGGTCGCGCCCACCATCTCCCATAAAGAAGCGCGATCGCGAAGGTCGTATATACTTCCGTTTCCGGCCTTTCCGCCTTCTTTTCGTTCCGGTAGCGCTCCCGCAGACATGGTATGAGCTTGGGAGTGGGTTTGGTAACATCCGCTTTAATCTTTTCCTCCTGTTAACGACACTGCCCCAGAACAGGTCCGTATTCCTGCGTGGACTCGATACACTAAAGAAACCAATTTCTCTCTGTCCGTTTCCGAATGGATCAGGATCTGGGGCTAACGAATTGAAGTGGTAGGATCAAAGAAGTAGACACAGCCGGGGTTGGTCAGCCCTCTTTTGTGGTAGATCCCCTCCCTCCCGGGGGCTCTCGGAGGGTGATCTACCGAAGTACGTGGTGCTGGGTCCTTTTCTAGTAAATTACAGGAGGGTTGTTTCTTAGCTAGGAATTAAGCGTCCATGTTTAGGGCTGCTGCAGTACGGGCGTCGTACTATTGTGGTCTGATAACGTTGCATGTCTTACTAGGTGAACGTTCCTAAAACCCGCCAGACTTTTTGTAAGAAGTGTGGCAAGCATCAACCCCACAAAGTGACACAATACAAGAAGGGCAAAGAGTCTCTGTATGCCCAGGGTAAGTGTGGCATTGGTGGTGGTGTCAGGTGTTGTAGTTTGCATTCTCAGGTCTGTGTGTGTTTGTTTGTTTCTCTCTGGGTTTGGGCATTGTATTTGTGAGTTAGAGGATTTGGGCATTGCATACACAGGGTCAGAGGACTAACACATACCTGTTATGATATAACCTTCTGGCGTACCATAACAAATAACTTGATTTTAAATTTCCAGGAAAGCGTCGTTATGACAGGAAACAGAGTGGATATGGTGGGCAGACTAAGCCAATTTTCCGGAAGAAGGTTCGTGATCATTGATATTTGACATGTTTCCCAGGAACTGTGGTGGTGGTCGTGCATTGAGTTGCTTTCTACTCATTGATTCTGTATATGGCTTCCCAAGGAGTGGTTGGTGGGTTTGAACCGCAGACCTTGTAGTTAGCAGTCCATTGCTTATTCTACAGTGTCACCAGGACTCCTTGGTGTGTTCGTGGTGTTACTAAGTACCATTGAGTCAGTTCTGACTCCTACCCCCACCCTGTATAGGGTTCCCAAGGAGCAGCTTGTGGATTTGAATTGTCAGCCTTATGGTTTGCTGTCCAGTGCTGATCCTACAGCACCACACCAGGAGTTCCCTTTGCCATTGAGTCGGTTCTGACCCATCGCAGTCCTGTATAGGGTTTCTGAGGAGCGACTGGTGGGCTTGGATTGCCACCCTTGCAGTTCAACTTGGCAGTCCTGCACATTAACCCACAGGGCCACACCAAGACTCTTTGGTGTGGTGGTGGTTATGTGCTGTGGAGTCAGTTCTGACTCATAGTGACCCTGTAGTTTCCGAGGCTGTAAATCTTTACGGGAGCAGAAAGCCTCATCTTTGTCGCCTGGAACGGCTATAGTTTCAAACTGCTGACCTTGAGGTTACCAGCCCGACTCATAACCTACCAGAGCTCCTTTTTGGTGTGGTAAAGGCTGTGAATTTGTCACTAGTCCTTTCCATTTTTCCACGAGCTTTTTTGAAGCCTCCTTGAATGAGGCTTTCTATTCCTATAAAGATTTACAGCCTCAGAAGCCACCCTATACAGGGTTGCTATGAGGCGCAATTGACTTCGATGGTAATGGATGGATATACTGAAGTAATTCAAGTTGCCTGTGGTGACATGTTAGGTGAGCCAATCATAGAAACCCTACATACAGAACTGTGCCATCCTCACAATTGTACTATGTTTGAGACCATTGTTGCAACCACTGTCAATCCATATCAGCAATGGTTTTCCACTTTTTCACAGACCATGTTGTAGGATAAGCATTGAACTGCTAAACTGTAAGATCAGTGATTCAAATGCACCAACAACTCCACTTTACCAAGCACGATGTCCTCCAGGGACTGGTCCCTCATGGCAATATGACCAAAGTAACCCTTGCTTCTAAGGAACATTCTGCTGGAACATGTTCCACGACAGATTTGTTTGTTCTTCTGGCAGTCCATGTTGCTTTCAGTAACCTTCAGTGTCGTATTTCAAATGCATGGATTCTTCCTTATTCATTGTCCACCTTTCACATGAGTATGTTACGTGCCCTGGAGTTGGTTTGACTCATAGTGACCCTGTACAGAGTTTCCAAGGCTATAAATCTTTACTTTTACGGGAGCAGAAAGCCTCATCTTTCTCCCGCAGAACAGTTGGTAGTTTCGAACTGCTGACCCTGAGGTTCGCAGCCTGATTCATAACCACTACATTTAGATGACTGAAAATACCATGGCCTGGGCCAGGTGCACCTTAATGCTCAAAGTGACATCTTAGTGCAACTCTTTTTTGTCTTCCTTAAAACTTGAGAATAGGCAATTAGGCCTTCCACTGGCTCCTTAATTCTATGTCATTCTCAGGCTAAATTTCTGTCCCACTCTAGGTGATTCGGCTACCGCAGAAAGCTTAACATTTTTCTTTCGACTTTGCAAACTGCTCCTCAGTTAGCCTAGTTGCAAAAAAGCATTTCTAGGATGGCTTTAGTGTTATATTATGTGCAATAAATGGCTTGGTGTCTACTTTGGTAAAAGGAATGCTTGAGTGCCTTGGGTAACGAGAACTGCAAAGTAGTAGCAGTAGAATTCTGAAGGGACAGGCTGGGAAAGCTGAGCAAATTTACAAAGATTTTAAGGACATGATTGCCTCCATGTGGCTAAAGTTCAATTGTCACAGCTCTTATCATTCCCAAGGCTTTACTTTAAGTAGTACTTGATTTTACATAAGCATATTGTTTTGGTTTTAAGGAATGATTTTTTGCAAATTTATGAAAGTTTTGACTTATCTTATTCCAGGCTAAAACTACAAAGAAGATTGTGTTGAGGCTTGAATGTGTTGAGTCAAACTGCAGATCTAAGAGGATGTTGGCTATTAAGAGGTGCAAGCATTTTGAACTGGGAGGAGATAAGAAGAGAAAGGTATAAAACTAATTGGAAGGTCCCATGGTTTCTATGTAGCTTTATTATAAATTACACTAGTCATAGCTGAAGGTATAGAGTATGCTGCTGATATTATTGGCTTGAGTAGGAAATGAAGAATGATGAGGCTTATAAAGGATGGTATAGTTAATTTAGGGGGACATGGATGGTTTGTGATCCAGCAGAGATTCCTTGCAAAACACCAAATTCATTCTTTTCGTTTCTTTTCTATTACAGGGCCAGGTGATCCAGTTCTAAGCGTCATCTTGTTTTATTATTAAAACAATAAAATCTTGATGTTATATTCATACCATGTGGTTTCATTTTGTCAGGTGGGAGGGAAATAAACTATGTGTCATCTATTAAAAGCCTCAGCATGAGTGGGAAATAATGTCACACATACTTTGCTACTTTAAAATCTGCCCCCCCCCCCAAAAAATATCCTCTGTCTAGGTCTGTACATTTCTGAAGGTGTGTACATCTGTAATCCTCTAAATAATCCTGTTCTCTTGGATGCACACCATATCAAAATGGCACTTTTGGCATCTAGGGACTCAAACTGTTTTCAATGTTCTGTGAGTTTGAGAACATAGACCTGTGAAGGGGCAAGGTCAGGGTTGTAGGGTAGGTAGTATGTTTCCCAACAAAATTCTCAGGACAGTCCTTGCTATCCTCCCAAGATTATCCTCAAAAAGATTAAAATGTGTCACTGAAAGATTTCAAGTGCATTCCTGGGATACAGTAGTTTTCACTTTATGTGACTGGTAGTGTAGAAAAATAAGTGGGTTCACCAATTCTCATTTTTATTAAGATACCTTATAGTTCCAACTAGATGGGAACTGAAGGAGCTATGTTATGTCACAGTCACTATCAGTGTTTTATCAGCTTGAAGGCTTTTTGATTTTATTGAAAAGCAAAAGGAATGATCACAACATTGTGTTTTGAGTGACCCTTTTTTTGATTTGGAACATTGATGAAAGAGCAAGTGCATGCCATTCTTTATACTCAGGATTATAAAAGGCTCGAAGCCTTGACTGCAGAACACCATGAAAGAGGCATGCCATCTGAACAGAAGTATGTACTCCCCATCTTGCATCTTGTTAAATCTCATTCCTCTAGTTTTGGTAAAAGGAAGGCATCTTCATTCTATAAACACTAGTTCTGGTGTGGCGATGGACTGCACAATTGGTTTGAACCACAAGGTTGGCAGTTCAAGCTTACCAGCCACTATATAGAAACCCTATACAGGGTCGCTATGGGTCAGAACTGACAGCACTTAACAGTTCCAGATTGTAAGTTCCCATTTATCATGGCTGTTCCCACATGGGTACTTACTTCATTCTGTCCTTAAATTGACAAAAGTTGTAAGCAGAGCTACCCAAATACGTTACCTCAGTAGGCAGCAGTGTAATGACTAGAGTCTGGGTTCAAATTCTGCCATCTATGTAGTAATGAAGCCTTCTGCTCCTGCAAAGATTTACAAACTCGGAAAATCTAGATTGCTCAAAGTTGGAACCACTGCCACCACACCACCATAGAGTGAATACTTGAATTGGTCATGTGGGTTAAAATGAGTCCAATACATGTTAAGCACCTCAAACAGTGCCTAGCACATGGTAAGTATTCAATAGACACCTTTACAAGTAGTTTAAGAGTTTAAGTTTAGAAGATTTTATTCAATAAATGGGAATGAAGGACGGGTAGACAGGAAATAGCATGGTAAAGTCATTTTTAGCATTTTGAAGAAAGTGCTTTGGTGTAGTTTGGCTTAAGCTTGGTTTGTTATCTGAAACAAAACAGTGCCTACGGGATTTATTTTCGTTTTTAAGGTTGAAGTCCATTCAAATAACCCAAGCTCTTTTTTCACAGGGAGAAGCTGTGTGATAAAGCAGGCAGGTTTACAGGCCACTGCTCTACCCACAGAAGTAACTGAAATGGTATAAGAACGAGGTCCACCTAGCTCCTGTAAATTTCTTACAGCCACAGCCCAGGCTAATCTTGAGAGAGGTCGTTCCCACACCTCAAAGTTGTGGTACTGAAAAGAAACCAAAGAATATAGATGTAATAAATTGGTAACTGGCAATCAGTTGCCTCATTTCTTGTCAAAACTCTCAAGTACTTTTAGTTTGAGAAAGAAAAAATTACCCTTTAGCATATTTTAGAGCCCTTGGGTGACACAGAGTGTATTTCTGTTCTGCAACACATACAGCTGCTATGAGTCTGAATCAATTCAATAGCAACAAGTTTTGTTATTTTAAATAGAGTATTTTAGAAATAAAGTAATGGTTCTAAGAATCACAAAGTCTCATTACTTAGTACAAAGAAGATAAACCCAAAACAAAATACAAATATTTTCAACATCTGTACATGTCCTCATATAACAGAATTTAGGCTAAAGAAAACCTTGGTAATTGGAAATGAAGCCAACTTTAAATACCCAAAATGAATATTTGGATGAGTTATACCATAAACTAGTCTCCCATTTTCTCCAACAGAACATGAATTACTATACCTTTCTAAGTAGGTACCCTTGCTTGCCTAAGGGATCCTGGTTGATGGCAATTACATCCTTATTCTGAAGTAGAGCTTTTGCTTGAGGGCTGATGTGCCGGAGGTCGGTAGACATGAATAAGGGAGCCGCCATGATAGCCCAGAGGGCCATCTGAGTTACCTGCTGATCCCAGCTGAGGCCATAGTTGCCAATAATTAACTGGGACAAAGAAAATAGTCAAAATAAGAGAAGAGGAAACAGTACCCACCCTTCTGTAAGTACACTCAAGTAGAGGCTCCTCCCAAGGATTTGAACAAGGACGATTCAAGGTTCTTACCATATCTGGGTCATTCCAACCCCCTGGTCCAGCGATGTCAACAATTGTGGCCTGGTTAGAAGATGACCAGTCCAAAATCTGCTTCACACTTTGCCAGGAATCAGAGACATCATCAAAATTTCGCCAGTGATTGCAGTACTGCCGAATTTCTGTGTAATTAGGCTATGCAAACAGAGAAAAGTTCTTTCTTTTTACTCTCTAATGTGGCGCTGTAGGATATGCAACTTTTTGAAGCACAAAGTTGGCGGTTCAAACCCACCACTCAGAAACCCTGTACAGAGTCATTGTGAGTCAGAACAAAGTGGAAGGCCCTGAACAACAAAATCCTTGTAAGAATGAAAACAGTCAAGTTGAAAAGAGGCAATTGTGGCCTTCTCTAGTTAACAGAGCTCCATCTACATTCCTATTATTGGCATTTCATTGTAAGAAGTATGCTTCAGAAGTAGGTGATAGAGCTTAAAATCGTTGCTTAAAATGTTTTAATACTGTTCATGCTGGAAATTTACCTAAAGGTGTTAAGGTTATGGGTGACTTAGATTTTCGTTACTGTTTTCAAATTAAAAATAATCATGTATTACTTTTATAGTTAGAAATACAAAACTAAAATGATTTAAATAAAAGTAAAAGTTGCAAAATTCCACAGGACTCATCATCATCAAGCATATAAAAACCAATCAGAATCCCAGGCATGCAATTTATTAATGGAATTCATAAAAGTTTACATCTGAAGTTTATGATGGTGAGAATATTTTATAGAAATTAGAAATAAATAGGGATTCATTCATTATCCGATAGTTATCATATGGTAGGAATACAGCAGAGTTTACATTCTAGACAAACATCAACAACACACAGTGCTAAGCAATAGGAAAAAATTACACAAGGCAATGTGATAATAAATGAGTGTTAAGTGCCATTGAGTTGGTTCCAACACACAGCGACTCTGTAAAGTGTTTCTAAGGAGCAGCTTGGTGGGTTTGAACTGCTGACCTTGCAGTTAGCTGTCCAGTGCTGATCCTACATTGCCACTCCAATTAATGGATAGAGGTATATTGTAAAGTAAAGAACACCTGTCTTCTCATTCTTCAAATGTGGCATTTGGTAGGAGACTTCAATAATAAACAGTTGGCCATTTAAAAATCTTGAGGGAAGAACATTCCAGGCAGAAAAAAAAACAAGTGTAAAGGCTCTAAGGCAGCAGTAGGGATGGGATGTATGAAGGATCCAGTGGAGAAAAGAAAACCGGTGTAGCAAGGGAAAGAGTGCTGGAAAATGAGGCAGATCAAATTGGGTCAGGAAGGCCATGGTACGGAGTTTGATTTTATTCCAAATGCAATGGAAGCTCAATGGGTTTTAAGCAGGGAAGGGTTATAATTCTATTTATATTTTAGCAAGATCACTTTGGCATTGTGTGAAACAGGGATTAGGAGGAAGGTGGGTGGGTAGAAAGTAGAAGCAGGTCAGACTGTTACAGCAGTTTCTAGGATGATGAGGGCAGTAGCAGTGGACTGATTCAAGATATACGAGTATTTTGGAAGTACTACTGGACAGGATTGCTGGTGGACAGAATGTGAATGGTGAGATAAAGGGACGAATTAGAGATGACTTCCCGAATGATGGTGGTTTGGAGTATAATTATGAGGGTGGGGAGGGGGAGAAGTGACTGGCTTCTTGGGGAGATGGTAGAATGATAGTTGAAATGGTTAGGGTTTTGTGTCAACTTGACTAGACCAGGACTAGACCAGAGATTTAGCAGTTGGAATGTGCTTATCCCCATGGTGATAAAACCTAATACAGACATAGTTACCACTATGATGAGCAGCCAATTAATTGAATAGATGCTTCCTTGGAGGTGTGGCCTGCTCTCAATATAATGGACACGCAGGAGGAACTTTCCTTTACTGGGGACTTGGGACTCTACTATTATAAGCTCTTTCCTTGATAATAAACTTCTCTTTCTCTCTCTCTCTCCATATATATATATATATATATATATATACACACATATATGTTTCACTGAGTTTTGCTTCTCTAGAAAACCTAGCCTAAGACAATAGTCCTAAGTAAAGTTACACTAGTAACTTTTAAGATTTTTGTGATAGGCTCTCAAGTTCTAAAAATCAGCGATGCTCTATTAGATTCTGGGCTCACGAACTCACCTTATGAAAGGGCCTCACGTAAAGGGGCCATTCACAAGAGAACACAATGCTTCTGCCAGTCCTGTTCAGAGCCAAGGACATTTTCTTATAACCTATATGAGAAAACAATGGGTAAACTAAGGAAAGAAGTGTACAGCCAGTACTTTATCTATTTTTAAAGAAGCTGTTTAGAACGTCGATGCTTATATTTTAAACTAGCAGCAGAGATGGGTGGATGTTTGCTGTTTAAATAGTGTATAGTACCTCCCAGACTGCTGGGATTTGAACCACCAACCTTTCAGTTAGTAGCCAGGTGCTTAGCTGTTAGTGCCATTAATTTACTTTTAGAGGCCTTTCAAAATAAAAAAGTACACTATTAGCCAGGATTAGGCATACATGAATTTTTACATGAATGAATGAATGGGCAAAATGAAAGAAGAGAAGATACTAACAGGCATTAAGACATTGAAAGTCATTATTTCTAGTATTATGACTAGGTATTTAAAATCTACAGACTGGTTCCTTGGATGCATGTCAGCTACCTGGGTAAATTTCTTCCTTTTACTCATGGCTAAATTTCTTGAGTGAAACATACCATCTACCAAATGTGTCAGAGTGTCACAGTAACAACCGTCAAATTTTAGCAGATCTACTCCCCAGTCAGCAAAGGTCTTGGCATCAATGTCATAGTGTCCAAAACTCCCAGGGTAGCCTGCGCAGGTTTTATTTCCTACATCTGCATAGATCCCTAGCTTCAAACCTTTGCTGTGGACCTGAAATTAGAGGAAAGAAAGTTATAATAGATCAAACATGAAATGGCAAAAAGAAAGAACCACACTACACAGGTGCACTTTAAAAGGGATCAGCTTCTTATTACTCAGAAATCCCCAAAATTATACTGTTGTTGCTAGGTGCCATTGAGTTGGTTCCAATCATGCACAACAGAACAAAACACTACCTGGTTCTGCGCCATCTTCACAATTGTTGTTAAGCTTGAGCCCACTGCTGCTGTAACTGTGCCAATTCATCTCACTAGGGGTCTCACTCTTTTCACTGACCCTTCACTTTACCAAGCATTATGTCCTTCTCTAGGGACTGGTCCCTCCTGATAATATGTCCAAAGTATAAGAGACAAAGTCTGGCCATCTTGGCTTCTAGAGATGCATTCTGGTTGTACTTTTTCCAACACAGATTTGTTTTTCTTCTAGCAGTCCATGGTACTTTTAATATTCTTCTCCAACACCATGACTCAAATGCATCAATTCTTCCATGGACTTCCTTATTCATTGTCCAACTTTTACATGCGCATGAGGGTATGGAAAATACCATGGCTTGGGTCAGGAGCACCTTAGTCCTCAACTGGCATTTTTGCTCTTCAACACTTTAAAGAGATCTTGTGCATATTTGTCTAATGTAATATGTCATTCGATTTCTTGACTGCTGTTTCCATGAATGTTGACGGTAGATCCAAGCAAAATGAAGTCTTTGACAACTTCAATCTTTTCTCTATTTATTACGATGTTATTTATTGGTCCAGTGGTGAAGATTTTTGTTTTCTTTACACTGAGGTGCAACCCATACTGAAGGCTGTGATCTTTGATCTTCATCAACAAGTATTTTAAATACTCTTCCCTTTCATCAAGCAAGGTTGTTAATAAGCCTTCCTCTAATTCTGATGCCACATTCTTCTCCATATAATCCAGCTTCTTGGATTATTTGCTCAGTATACAAATGGAAAAAGTATGGTGAAAGATCACAACCCTTGAGCACACCTTTCTTGATTTTAAACCATTCAGTATCCCCTTGTTCTGTTCAAAGGATTGCCTCTTGGTCTTTGTACAAATTCCTCTTGAGTTTCAATTAAGTATTCTGGAATACTCATTCTTCAAAATGTCATCTATATGTAAATGTCTTTCTGATATTCTATACTTTCAGCCAAGGTCCATCTGACATCAGCAATGATACCCCTCATTCCACATCCTCGTCTGGCATTTCCCTGTCAATGTACTATTGCAGTTGTTTTTGAATTATCTTTAGCAAAATTTTACTTGCATGTGATATTAATGATAGCTGAGTTTACTGGGAGACAAAGAAGAAATATGTATTTGAGCTATACCACAAAACTATGAAGAAAGCTATTAGCCAGTCTGATCTTCTTCTGATGGGATCCTTTGCAAAAAGCAATTTAAAATGGAAGAATATGGCATCTCATAGATAGGAAGATTTAACATTGTGAAAATGTCAATACTACGCTAAGCAATCTATAGTTATAACAGAATCTCAATCTGGATTCCAACATCATTCTTTAAAAAGATGGGAAAAAATTATTGTGAACTTTATATGGAAAGAAAAGAAACCTCGGATAAGCATAGTGCTGCTTAAGAAGGACAAAGTTGGAAGTCTCTTATGCCCTGATCTCAAAATTTACTATACAATGGTCAAAACAGCCTACTGTGACAAAAGATACATAAATCAATGAAACAGAATTGAGAACTCAGTAGTAAATCTTTGACAAAGGGTCAAAACACATTAAATCAGGAACACAACAAATGGTGCTAGTAAAACTGGAAGTCAATTTGCAGAAGAATGAAACAAGACCCGTATCTCATACCATATAAAAAAAACAAACTCAATGTTGATTAAAGACCTAAATGTAAAACCTAAAACTATATAGATCATTAATTAAAAAGCAGGGATAAACTTAGGAGCTCTAATACATGACATTCATATGCTGTAAAACATTATAAAAAACATACTGTCATTAGAAGACCAAATAGATGACTTCTTGTTGTGAAGTGCTGTCAGGTTGGTTCCGACCCATAGGACCTCCTAAAAATTAGGCAGTTATATACATCAAAAGATTTCATAGAAAGAATAAAAAAGTAGTCCACAGACTGGGAAGGAGCTCTGGTCACGACCTCAAGGTCAGCAGTTCGAAACTACTAGCTGTTCCGTGGGAGAAAGATGAGGCTTTCTGCTCCCATAAAGATTTACAGCCTCAGAAACCCTATACAGGGTCACTATGAGTCAGAACTGACTCCACGGCACCCTACCACCACAGACTAGGAAATTTTTTTTAACTTTTTATTGCGAATTGAGTGAAGGTTTACAGACCAGATCATCAGCTTTACATTCAACAAATCATATATTTTATTTCAGCTCAAAGATTACAAGTCCCTCCATGCTATAACAGTTATATCGCTTCCTACCTGGGTTCCTATTTGCATTCCACCCACTTTCCTATCCCTTCTCAACTTTCTTTAGGTAAATGTTGCCCTTCTGATTTTGAATGATTGACCATTCCATGGTGAGTATACCTTGCTAGTGTTGTTGTCTTCCTATCTGCTCCCTGAGTGGATAGATCCTTTCCAGATCTAAAGGGTGGTTGAGGGCCATAATCTCATGTTCCTCCAGTCTCTTTCTGACCAGTAAACCCACTTTTTTTGTTGTTGTTGTTATTTGTTTTTCAAATGAAATGTTTTTGAGTTTTGTTCCACATTTTCTCCCACTCTATGCGGGATCCTCTTGTGATCCCTTTCAGAGCAGTTGGAAGTAATAACTGGGCACTGTCTAGTTCTTCTAGTCTTGGAGTCATGGAGACTGGAGTTCACATGATCCATTAGTTCATTGGGATAATTGATCCAAGTCTCTTCTATTCTTATCATTCTTCTTTCTTCCACACATGGAGAGACCAATACCTGCAACTCAGAAGGCCACTTTCCATATTCCAGACGCTACATACCCAAGCAGGATGTAGAACATTGTCTTTGTGGATTAAGTTTTGACAGTTGACAATGGTGTTCCCTGAGATTATGCTCCTGAGCCCCCAGGACCATCAACTCCTTGCCTTAAGATGTTTGATAATAGCTAGGAAGTTTTTATCATTTTGCTTGCTGTATGCTCTACCACATTCATAGTTATGTTTGCATGAAAGGTAAATACTCATATGTAAATATCCTCTTTCAAACTCATATATTTATGGGTGACATAAATATATACATATATACCATTCTTCTTCCTTTACCCTTTCAGCCTATGTCTCAATCCATGTATCTATGCACAGTACTGTAGCTCCAAGGTTGTGTATATATCATTATTTACCTGTGTCCCCTTTAGCCTATGCATACCACCCTATATCTTCACCTATCTTCATTATTCTTCTGCCACCCTCCCTCTTTTTGTATATTGCCAGTGAATTACTCTCCACTCCCTCCCACCCCTGGCAACCATCCAAGAATGTTTCTTTTAGTATGGAAACCTTTTCTTAAGCTTTTACAATAATGGTCTCATACAATATTGGTCCTATTGTGGTTGACTAATTTCACTCAGCATAATGTCCTCCAGGTTTATCCATGTTATGAGGTGTTTTACAAATCCATGTTATGAGGTGTTTTGCATATTTATCATGTGTGTTTATCCATTCTTTCATTGATGAGCACTTAGGCAGTCTCCATCTTTTGCTACTGTGAACAGTGCTGCAGTGAACACTGATGTGCATATATCTACTCCAGTCCTGGCTTATGTTTCTTGTGGATATATACCAAGTAGAGGGAGTGCTACATCATAAGGTATTTCTGTTTCCCACTTTCTGAGGAAGCGCCATACCATGGGGAAAAAAAAGATTTTTGCAATGACATACCAGATAAGGGACAAATATCTAAAATCTATAGAAAACTATAACACCTCTACAAGGAAAAGACAATCCAGTTAAAAAATGGGCACAGGACATGAACAGACACTTCACCAAGGAAGACATTTGGGCAACCAACAAACATATGAAAAAATGTTCATGATCATTAGCCATTATAGAACTGCAAATCAAAGCACCAGTGAGATATCATTTTATCATTTCACACTAGCAATAACAGCGAATTCAAAAAAGCAGAAAACAGCAAATGCTGGTGAGGGTATGGAGAGACCAAGACCCTCCTACATTGCTGGTGGGATTATAAAGTGGTTTAAGCACTCTGGAAAACAGCATGGCACTTTCTCATAAAGTTGAAAACAGGAATACCTTGTGACCCAGTGATCCCTCTACTTGGTTGTTGTTAAGTGCTGTCAAGTCAGCTCAACTCACAATAACCCTGTGTAGGGTTTCCAAAGAGCGGCTGGTGGGTTTGAACCACTAATCTTGCAGTTCAAACTGACCTTGTAGTCCAGTGCATTATCCTGCAGCACCAGTATGTTGTTGTTGCTAAAGTGCCGTCGAGTCAGTTCCAACCCATAGCGACCCTGTACAGGGTTTCCGAGGCTGTAAATCTTTACAGGAGCAGAAAGCCTCATCTTTCTCCCACAGAACAGCTGGTAGTTTCGAACTGCTGACCTTAAGGTTCACAGCCCGATTCGTAACCACTACGCTACTAGAGCTCCTTATATCCACAGGAAATACAAGCCAGAACACTAGTAGATATATGCACACCAATGTTCATAGCAGCATTATTCACAATAGCAAAAAAAATGGAGACAGCCTAAGTGCCCATCAATGGATAAATGATTTTGTTACATTCACACAATGGAATACTATGCAATCTTGAAGAATAACAATAAATCTGCAAAACACCTCATAACATGATGAACCTGGAGGTCATTATGCTGAGTGAAATTAGTCAATCACAAAAGAACAAATATTGTACAAGAACAGTATTATAAAAACTTAAGAAAAAGAAACATAGCAAAAATACAGTCTTTGATCGTTACCAGGGGCAGGAAGGAAGGGAGAATAATTCACCGGCTAGAGGATAGACACCTGTTACCTTGCGTAACAGGGAAGACAATATATAAGAAGGGGGAGGATGGCAGAAAAATTTCAAAAAAAGGAAAGTAATATCATAGGAGAAGTATATACTTCCTATGGTATGACTCCAGAGGCGTCATAATGGCAGATTTCCCCTTCATTAGTGAAACCAATAATCATTTGGTTAAGGTTGTATCCATTAAATTTCTCCAATCAGAGGTAACTTTCCCCTTTGTAAATGCATAACCTGTGTAGTGATTCTTTGAGACCACATAAAAATCCTGCTCAGCAATCACCTTTTAATGATTTTAGTATTAATTGTAATTATTTCCTGAATAAATTACAAGGTGGTTTTTTAAAAAAATATTATTAAAAAAAAGAATTTAGCTTTGGTATTTTACTTCTCCATTTTTCTAGTCATACGAACAGTAAAGGCTAGTGAGTGAGGGGGACTGACCAGAACAAGTAGGACCACCTGGGGGCCTGATGCTAAGCTACACAAGGCCAGGTGTCATCTGTCATGAACATGTGGGGAGGCCAATAAGAACCTTGAGCCTTGAGGCTCAGAGGGGCTTCCTAGTCAGTGACCACACATGGAAAAGTGTAGTGCATCTCTCTTTTACAAACTGTGCCCCCTCCCAGAACTTACCCTATGTGTCCATTTTTAGTTGTAATAAAGTGGTAGCCTTAAGTATGGTGTACTCTATGAATTCTGAGTCATTCTAGCAAATTAACAAACCCACGGGGACAGTGAGAGCCAGCAGGGACTGGTGTCTGCTTATTTGGCAGTGTGGAAGGTGCCGTCCTAACAGGTGATTAGGATCTGAGAAATGCTGCATGGGTGATATTATTGTTAAGTGCTGTCAAGTGGGTACCGACTCACAGTGACCCTATATAGGGTTTCCAAGGAGCAACTGGTGGTTCACAGTCCAGTGCTGATCTTAAAGTGCCCTCCCAGGGTAGCTAGTCTGAAAGACAGTGGTCTTCTAACTTGTGAGATCAGACCTAGCTCTGGATGGCTAGGGTTGGAGAGAGAGTGTGCCATGCAAGTGGCTGGTGACAAGGATGGAAAAGTGGAAAGGTGAAGACTGGGTCTGCTTCCACACTTTGAGAACTGGATTCCTGCTGACCCTTACCATGTAATTAACAATGAAGATGGGATTTGCCCTATGTGCCTCTTGCTTAGTGCAGATCCTGAATGTTAACTTTACAGGGCAGTGATAGATTTAGCTCTAGAATAGTTTGCTCTATATTCTAAAATTCTATTTATAATATATTCCCAACAACTGCTCAAAGCTTATATGGAAATATATACACATACATGCAAGTTTCTTTGTTCTCCTTAGAGAATTCAGTGGTTTAGTGAACAGGAGAACTCCAAGGTGGGCCTCAAGAGCTATTTCAAAACAAGTATCTGCTGATAGAATGAAAATTCCACCTGAGAAGCCTTAATTCAATGTTCAGATAAGAGTAGCTATTCCACTTTCTAAGTGTTAGAAGAGCTGTTTCTGAAAAAAACTCCTATACAGAGTGCTTCTAAGTCCTTAATGGAAAAGAGACTTATCTATAAACTCACATAATGGGCTAGGCGTTCAATCCCACCAGGAAAGCGCTTAGGGTCTGCCTGAAGTTTGCCTTTTGAATTGCGTGTGTGAGCCATCCAACAGTCATCGATGCAGAGGTACTGGTAGCCTGCATCCTTCCAGCCATCTGATACCATGAGATCAGCCATCTGCATGAAGAGCTGCTCACTGAAAAACAAAGTCTAGGAATCACTACAATTTATCCAACAAATACTTGGGTGCCTCCTACTTGTCGGGCACCTTGGGATTTTACTATTTTTTAAACCCAGTTATAGTATGGTAGTGATCACAACCAATAGAAGTTTCATTTCTTTTTCTTTCCCCTCCCCTATCTCTTTAACACCTGAGCCAAAAAAAACATAAACACAACATTAACATGTCCAGTTAACACGTTGTTGTTGTTGCTAAGTACCGTGGAGTCAGTTCCGACTCAGAGCGACCCTGCACAGGGTTTCCGAGGCTGTAAATCTTTACGGGAGCAGAAAGCCTCATCTTTCTCCCACGGAACTGCTGGTAGTTTCGAACTGCCGACCATGAGGTTAGCAGCCCGATTTGTAACCACTACACTATATGATGAAATTGAAAGGCTTTTTGAACTAAGAAGAAAGTTCAGTAAGAAGAACATGAAGTTATTCTCAGAAAGATTTACAAGGCTGACATAATTAAAGTTCCTGTAGATATCAACAATAATCTTATTAGAGCAAAAGATGTCATTTCAACAGTCAGAGAAAAACTCCCCAAATCCCTAAAAATAAACCAAAGAGATGTGCAGGACCCATGAATAAAACTGATGCTCCTACATAATTTGAGCAAGAGACATTTTATTCTTAGGCAAGAAAACTCAATATTATAAAGAAGCTAATTCTGCCTAAATACAAAGATGGTATTTAGCCCACACCTGAGGCATTCATGGAGGTGTGTTTTCAGCATCATGATATCAAAAAGTTAGACTAAGGGCATATTGGTTATTACTGCGTATGTTAGGCAGGCCAATTCTGCAACTCCAGTCTCCTGCTTTTCTTAACGAAGCAGGAAACTGGCAATTTGCTAATAAAGGAACAGCTTAAAACAGGAAGTTCTTGTTTTACCACAGAAATCAACAATGAAGGCTCTGTATGATAAGCACTGGATTATGAACTGCAAGACTGGTTGTTCAAGCCCACCAGCTGCTCCATAGGAGAAAGATGAGGCTTTCTGCTCCCACAAAGATGTAGTTTCAGAAAGTCTCATCTTTCTCCTCAGGTGCAGTTGGTAGGCTTGAACTTCCAACCTTATGGTTAGCAGTGCAGTGCTTATCCTACAGTGCTACTAGGGTTCTTTTAGAATACATGCTATTTTTGTTGCTAAGCACTGTTGAGTTGGTTCCAACTCATAGAGACCCTGTATAGGGTTACCAAGGAATGGCTGGTGGGCTTGAACTGCCGACCTTGAGGTTAGCAGTCCAGTGCTGATTCTATAGTGCCACACCAGGACTCCTCATAGATCAATGGAACTTTTTTTAAAAGTTCCAAAACAGATCCTTCTAGTTATCTGCTATCATGGAACTGGTATATATTAGATGTGACACTTCTTATAAGAGAATTAAGTCCAAATGTACCAATAGTCTAAATGAAATGGGACTGCAGGGTATATCCTTTAGTTGGGCGATGATGCACGGACGGGATGGTAACTATGGCAGTGAGATGATTTATGATGGAATGAATGTAAAACTAATGTTCCCCCATGTAGACTATCACACAATACACAATAAACCATTAAAAAAAAATACTAGTAGAAAATGTGAATAGCTATATACACATATATCCCTGGTTGGCACAAATGGTTTATGTTCCATTTTTAACCTAAAGGTTGGAAGTTCAAACCCACCCAGTGGTACAATGGTATCATGGCAGAAAAGCCCTGGAGATCTGCTTCAGTTAAAACACTATGGAAGTAAAAGAAAAAAAAAATCTCTTTTTGTTACCACAGGTGTGAGGGAAGGGACAATAAGGCATAGGTTGGGGATAGTAACATCATAGCTTGGGTAAAGGGGAGGACAATATACATGGAAGGGGAGGGCAATACGCAAGAAGTGGGAGGGAAGTGGAAGAACAAGGAAGATAGGAGAACTCGTAGGAAGGTTTGCATGGTCTAAATGGGACAGAAGTAAAAACCAAACAAAAACACTATGGATCAGTTCTACTTTGTAACACATGTGGCTGTCATGAGTTGGAATCCATCGATGGCAACTAACAACAACATATATTGAGGTTGTTGTCAAGTCAGTTCCGACTCATAGCAATGCTGTATAGGGTTTCTGAGGAGCAACTGGTAACTCTGAACCGCTGTCCTTGAGGTTCAAACTGATCCTGTGGTCCAGTGCATCGTATAACCCTGAAGTCAGAAGTCAAAAGAGATTAATGACTTTGATTACATAAACAGTAAAAATAGGGGGGAAAATATTTATAACATATAACAGTCCAAAAACAACAACAAAACCAACAAAGACGTTCCAATTGAAAAATACAGAACATAAACAGGCACTCTATAACAGAAACTGTAGAGCCAGTTCAGCATATGAAACGCTGTTCAGTTTCATTAGTATCAAGGGAACGCACATGGAAACAAAGGAAAAATCACTTGTCACCTATGAGATTGGCAGTTTGGGGGATAGTTTGGATATGTGTCAAAAATTTAAATGAGTACTCCCTTGGACTCTGTATTTAGATGATGCACAAGGATGATTAGGGCAGTTTTGTTTAAAATAAAAAATTGAAAACAGTCTGAACAACTATCAACAAGGAATTGCTTAAATAAATTATGGTATATGCATACAATGGAGGAGTTCTGCTATGGCACTGTAGAATAAGCACTGGACTGCTAACCACAAGGTCCATGGTTCAAATTCACCAGCTGTTCCTGGGAAACCCTATTCAGGGTCTCTATGAATCTGAACGGACTCCATGGTACAACAGCATACAGTGGTATACTGTGCAAAGTGTAGGTTTTCATGGGGAAATGCTTTATGTTGTTAAGAGAAAAAAAATGTCACAATTTGCATTTAGGAAGCTCTTGCTCTATGCCACAAGGAGTCCTGGCGGTGCAGTGGTTAAGAGCTCTGCTATTAATCAGAAGTTGGAGAAAGATGTGGCAATTATGGAACTAAAAGAAAAAAAAAAATACAGGGTAGTTCTACACTGTCTTTAGAGGGTCGCATTGAGTCAGAAGCAACTCAAGGACAATGGGTTTAGGGGTATTATGGCACTTTGCTTATACTTAACCACTGCCATACAGAACTGCTACATAGGGTTGGTGAGGCTGTAAAGCTTTATGGAAGCAGATCACTTCATCTTTCCCCTGAGGAGAGGCTGGGGTTGCCACTAAGGTCACATAGCTAGGTAATGACAGGCTAGAATTTGAACCCAGTCAGGTAAAATGCCAGTCTTGCTATTAACCACTAACTACATAAACGTGATCCCATTTTTTACTAAGAAAAATAAATCTATGTTTATATTTACATAGAAACCTATTGAAAGGAAGCATATTAACATTTTAACCATGATTATTTCTGGGTGGTGAGATGGGTATATATTTTCATTATACATTTCTTTATATTTTCATTATATATTTACATTGTACATTATACATTTCTTTACTATTAGTATTTTTTTGGTAGTATGAATGATTAATAATCAGATACACTATTTCCTAGAGTCACAATGGGTTTAGTCTGAAACTTAGAAAGCCAATTTCTTCTGTGACGTCTGAGTAATATCTGACTTGATCTGTAAAGATATTCAGCCTTTGAAAGGGCCTCTGCACCATAGGTGACTTTATTATATCATTAAGCAATATATTAACAATGATTCTTAACCTTTTGTACATCACAGATCCCCCTTCAGATTCTGATGAAAGCTAGAGATTCTCCAGAAAAAATATACATACTCACATTTGCAAATTTATGTTTCTTTTTCGGTGAATTCTAGGCTAAGAATATTGTTCTGTTTGCTTCATTGAACAAGTACAAAGTACTGTATGGTGCTCACACAGTACTTTCATTACAGATGAGTAAACAGATAGAGGGAGGTTCTTTCGTTACAAGCACTCTACCCCTATCCCCAACCCAAACCCCATCTCCAACTCTCAGGATAAAACTGGAACCATACTCTACACTCACTGGGCTCAGAGGGAGCCTCATGCTCTTGATAATGAACTACCCACATACCTGTTTCTGACTGTGTCCTCCTCACTGCTGCATATCTACATGTCGCTAATTGTGGAGCCTCTCTGATGTTAAATTCCAATCTGCCCAGGCTGCTTCTTAATGTCTTCTGAGTCGTTTCCATGAAGTAACTAACAGTTGTTATTCCAATTTACAGACAAGGAATGTGAGGATCAGATCGGTTTAATACCTGTTTTATTTAATATTAACCCTCGTCTTTTCCACGTTAACATTCCAGCCAGATGCCTCACTCAAGGGGAGGAGGCGGAAGGGAGAAGGAAAGAGGGGGATATCGAAGACCATTTGGTCTAACACCCTCGAGTTATCGCTAAGGAACCCGTGACTCAGAAAGGGGAAGAAATGGCGCAGGACTTGGGCCCTTGTCTCTCTTATGCACTCCAACTATGCTCACGAGCAGAACCAGGCACAGACAAAGCAAAGCTCACAATACTCTAAAAGGAACTGGGTGGTAATGGAGGACATCTCGAGCTGGGTGACTAGGCAGGAAGAGAAAAAAGGAGAAGGGGCCGCTGGCCTGATTCCCACCCCAGAGAGGGTTACAGGGAGAAAGTTTATGGTTAGTCCCCACCCGGGACAGTTTGCTGGGGATTTAAAAAAAAAGCAGTAGTAGGAGAGCTCTCCCTCTGGCTCAAGTGTCTCCTCTGAGATCCTCCATGCCCCAAACACACCCAGACAAACACACGGAAAGGCAAAGGAAGGGGTGCGTCTAATATCTCTTTTACCTGATACAATTATCTGGCTCTTGCAGGCAGTTTACGTTGCATAGGAAGCGCTCCCAGTGTAGCCAGCCCATGGTAGGGGTTATCGACAAGCCGTTGTCCAGAGCCCTGGTCCCAGGGACGCCCCAAAAAACTAGAGCTAGTACACTGAACTCAAACACATAGCCCAGCCGCTGACCTTGGCTCATCATCTTCCCTATCATCTTTATCATCCAGCACTGATTTCTTCGGGTAACCTGGACTTTTAAGTTTAACCTTAGAGGCGGACCAATCACGGATGAGTTATTCAATAATGACGTTGTTGTTTCTCAGGCAACTGGGACGGTTATCCCCAGAGGCTGACCAATGATCAGTCATGTAAAACATACGGCAACCTATCGCACTCTTTTGCTCTTGATATCGGCCCGCCCTGTTTCCATACCAGAAGGAAGTGCGGCACCTTAGTGATCTCGAGTTGAAGCTGTGCGTTGCTCACGTGACCGAGATCTCACATGACGTAGGAGCTCACGTGATCAATCGCTTACGTGAGCAGAAGTAGTTCTGGTCGTCGTCTACCGCCTCGCTATAGCCGTTCGAGGGCAGAAGGAGGAAAATTATCCGATATCTTAGAGGTTGGTGTGTGGGTGGGAACTGGGGACCTGGGGGTGATGATGATGGAGAGCAAAGCGGGGTTTGGAGGCCGCCTCCGCCTTTTTAATTCTTTTCCTCCCCCTCCCCCCCCCCATCTCAGTGCCGGGAAGCCGCCTTTGCTGCGCCTGGTGGGGAAATGGTGGACGTTCGTGACTGTATGTGGTTTTTTTTGTATCTCTCTGCCTGGGCGGGTATCAGGGGATCCCTAAGAGGAACCAAAAGGTGAAAAATGTTTGAAAACTACGGCTTTGAATTGGAAAAAGCAGAGCTCGAGACCAGTGATTTGAGTGCTGGGCCACCCAATTCAAGCGCTCCAATCCTCACCGTCTGATTGTCTGTCTGTCTGTAGGGGGAGGCACCAAGTGTATTTTATCTATGGAGTCAAATGTCGGCAAATACTGCGTGCCTGACGGGCGCCAAATACATGCTTTTACTGAATTAAATAATTAAATAACGTTTCCTTTTCGGCTCGTAACAATATATGTTCATTCTCCAACATTTGAAAAATAATAGTGTACTACAAAAAAAAAAAAAAAAAAAAAAAACTTACTCCTGGAGATAACTACTCTCCATTATGGTGTATTTTTCTTTCCAAGAAGAAAATACACTTACTCCACATGTCATAACTATTAAAGTGTGGGTTTAACTCTTGCAAAGGGCTTCAAAAGTTCATGAAAAAATCCATTCTCTCTCAATTCTATATTTCTGTGAACTTTTAGAAGTCCCTTGGTATGTGAATAAAAATTTTTAGCTCTCACATGGGATCGTAGTTATCACTTTAGGTATCGGTGATCATCTCAGGTGATAAAATAATGAAGCACAACTTCCTGTTACTACAGAGGATCTGTTAAGGCATACTGTACTTTGTTGTTGTTAAGTACCGTCGAGTCGGTTCCGACTCATAGTGACCCTGTATAGGGTTTTCGAGGAGCAGCTGGTGGGTTTGAACTGCCCCGCCTCGTGGTTTGCAGCCCAGTGCTGACTCTACAGCGCCATACCAGGAGTCCATAGAGTGTTTTAGGGACGTTAGGGTTAGGTCATAGGATGACCCTAGGGATAAGACAGGCAAAAAAACAGTCCTTAAATCTGCCAGTTAGATCTAGGATAGTTTATAGAAGACCACAGTAGATGCAGCGTACCAGGCACATAATAGGTAATTGTTGTTGTTAACTGCCATTGAGTCAGTTCTGACCCATAGCTACTTTGTACAGTGGTTCCAGGGAGCGGCTGGTGAGCTTGAACCGCCAACCTTGCAGTTCAAATGGCTTTGCAGCCTGACGCATTAACTCACAGCGCCACATTTAGTACATGTTTATTGAATTAAATCCTCAATATAGTTTTATGGCAGTTATTACACTTTGTACTTTCTTTCTAAGAGGTCCAGTGTGTTCCTACAATATGTTAGATAGGCCATCCACATACAAAACTAGAAAATCTGCTAAAATTAAATACCAGAAAAGCAAACATTTTGTTTATTGATATTTTTGCTGAAATAAAACTAGTTCTCTCTGGAGAAAATTAAGAATATACCCCCCAAAAAAATCCATAAAACTAGTATAACTTAGAGTAACTCCTATTAACATTTGACAGATTTAAAAAAATTCCAGTTACAGATGGTGATTTTAAAGAATTAAAACAATATAGAAGCATATAGAGTAAAAGATAAAAATCACCCTTCAAATCCCTTGCCCTCCAGTTTTTTTCTTAAAAACAAGTTTGTATTTGATTTCAAAACTTGTTAAAGCATTTATATATATGTATACATGCATACTTATGTTTTAACATAAGTAGGATCATATTGTGCATACTCTTCATTTAATATATTTTAGAAATCTTTCTATTTCAGGGCATATAGATCTCTTTTATTTAAATTGCTGTGTAGCATTTCATTTTAAGGATAATGTGTATTTCCTTCAGCCTTCCCCCCCCCATTGAATATTTATTTATGTTTCTAATATGCTGCCATTGCTAACTGCTATCATCAACATTTGTATTTGCTGGGTCAAGAAGTAGGTGAATATACATATAGTTTTTAACATGTTGTTTGTTGTTAAGTGCCATCAAGTCGGTTCCAACTCAGTGAACCCTGTATAAGGTTTCTGAGGAGCTACTGGTGAGTTTGAACCACCCACCTTAAAACTCAAATGACCATGTTGTTAAATACCTTTCAGAGACTATATATAGTTCCATAAATTTTTATCTGCATTTCATATCATCTCCTTAGGGCACATAACTTAAGTTTTTAACATAGTTGACATTATAAAGTAGCTGTGATCTTGGCCCATGTAGCCAGTCCAGTGCTTCACCTTCAACGCCACACCAGGATTCCACGTAAGATTATACTGAAAGTAATTTCTCGTTATTGAATTTTTTTTTTTTATTAAGTACTTTTCAAAGACTGTATATGGCTCCATAGATTTTATCTGCATTTCCGATCATTTCCTTAGGACATATAACTTGAAGTGGATTTACTGGGTCAAAGATGTGATGATTGTTGTTGTTGTTATGTGCCGTGGAGTCAGTTCCAACTCATAGCAACCCTGTACAGGGTTTCTGAGGCTGTAAATCTTTATGGGAGCAGAAAGCCTCATCTTTCTCCCACGAAACAGCTGGTAGTTTCAAACTGCTGACCTTAAGGTGAGCAGCCCATATGACCAAATTGCTTTCTAGAAATACTGTGTCAAATTTCACTCCTTTATTGGTAAACCTGAATCCCACTAACTTATTTTCCCTGTTTACTTTTCTAATATCTTGATGGGTGAAAATGGTGATTTATTCTAGTTATAATATATATTTCTGATGATTGGTGAGGTTTGAACATTTCTTTCAATGCTTGTTGTTGTTGTTAAGTGCCCCAAAGTTGGTTCTGACTCATAGAGCCCCCGTATAGAGTTTCTGAGTAGTGACTGGTGTGTTTGAACTGCTAAACTTGCAGTTAGCAGCCTGGTGCTTATTCTGTAGCACCACATATTTCCCACACTCCTCTGTCCTTTATCCCTAGCTCCTTGCCCCCCATAGCTAATCTAACATCAAGTCTGGAAGATTCCACTTCTTTTATAGGCTTAGATCAGATATTTCTTCTCCCTTTACTGTGTTGCCAACCCTTAACACATCTCCAGATTCTGATCTGGCTAGTTTCACCCCATCCCCCTCTGTTTGAGTGCTACACTGTTGCCAGGGTGATCTGTCGGAAAGGGTTTTGATGACGTCACTCCCCTCACTCCTCTGTGTAAATCCCTTAAAAGGCCTTTAGCATTTTTATATCAAATAAAGTCTTCTGGATCTGATTTCTACCTTGCCAGCCTTATCTCTTGCCTTGCCCTTTCTATATTCCATTATATTTTTTTAAATGTTTATGTATCCTTGAATTAGATAGTCTGTTCAATTTAACCATCCTGTCTCTAACCAGTTAACCAACCAGTCCCTCCTTGATACCATCCTTACATCTTGCACAGAGTTCTAGTTCTGTCGTGGCAGGCTTTTTTTTTTTTTTTTTTTTTTTGGCATAATGTGTTTTCATACTTAGATTTTAAATGAAGACATACAGCACTCCTATAGGACCATAAGCCCAAGGTTTATTTATACTTGTATACCAGAGCGGAGTGCTCAATCTGACAATTAAGAAATGTTTGTAAAATGAATGGCTGAATTCCGTAGGTTATTTATCAGTTATTTTTGTCTTTATTGTAGGACAGTTGTCCACTAATTTTTGTTGATGTTAATTTTTAAGTCTTTTGTTTCCTATGATTTTAAAACATGTATTGCAGAAAACTTTGAAATACAGAAATGTCTAAAGCTAAAAAAAAAAAAAAAAATCCTTAAAACAAAAAACATAAGCCCAGAATTAACCACTTTTAATGGTACTGCCTGGTGGCACTCACCAAAAAGCCAGAGGTTTGTGCCCACCAGCTGCTCCACGGGAAAAAGATGAGGCTGTCTGTTTAAAAATTTTAATCTATTTTTAAAGATTATAGCCTGGGGAACGCTGGAGGCAGTTCTATTATATATTATAGACTTGCTCTGGTTTGACAGTGGGTTTGATTTGGCATTTTGGTATGGTACCTAATATGTGATGGTAGTGGTGGTTATGTACCATGAAGACAGTCCCAATTCACAGCAACCCTGTATAGGGTTTCCAAGACTGTAAATCGTTATGGAAGCAGAAAGCCTCATCTTCTCCTGCGTTCTGGAACCGCTGGTAATTTTGAACTGCTGACCATGAGCTTAGCAGTCTGCCTCATACCTGAGTGGGCATTCAATAAATGGTTGCTGAATGAATAAATGATTTACATTTATTGGTGCAGTCTTTTTGCATATACAAGTGTTTTGCAAAATTAAAGCTAACAGTGTCATTAAATTTTGTAATAATAGTTTGCTTTTTTTTTAAACTAAGCTATATTGTGAATGTTTACCCATGACAGTAGTCTTTGATTTTTGTGTTTTGTTTTTGTTTGTTTGTTTTTTTTCAGCCACACCAACATTGCGTTGCATCTAGCTTACCACCAAGATCCCAACAGTCACCATGATGCTGAGCACAGAAGGCAGGGAGGGGTTCGTGGTGAAGGTCAGGGGCCTACCCTGGTCCTGCTCAGCCGATGAGGTGATGCGCTTCTTCTCTGATTGCAAAATCCAAAATGGCACATCAGGTATTCGTTTCATCTACACCAGAGAAGGCAGACCAAGTGGTGAAGCATTTGTCGAACTTGAATCTGAAGATGAAGTGAAATTGGCATTGAAGAAGGACAGAGAAACCATGGGACACAGATACGTGGAAGTATTCAAGTCCAACAGTGTTGAAATGGATTGGGTGCTGAAGCATACAGGTCCGAATAGCCCTGATACTGCCAACGATGGCTTCGTCCGGCTTAGAGGACTCCCATTTGGCTGTAGCAAGGAAGAAATTGTTCAGTTCTTTTCAGGGTTGGAAATTGTGCCAAATGGGATGACACTGCCGGTGGACTTTCAGGGGCGGAGCACAGGGGAGGCCTTTGTGCAATTTGCTTCGCAGGAGATAGCTGAAAAGGCCTTAAAGAAACACAAGGAGAGAATAGGGCACAGGTACATTGAAATCTTCAAGAGTAGCCGAGCTGAAGTCCGAACCCACTATGATCCTCCTCGAAAGCTCATGGCTATGCAGCGGCCAGGTCCCTATGATAGGCCGGGAGCCGGCAGAGGGTATAATAGCATTGGGAGAGGAGCAGGATTTGAAAGGATGAGGCGGGGTGCCTATGGTGGAGGGTATGGCGGGTATGATGACTATGGTGGCTATAACGATGGGTATGGCTTCGGGTCTGATAGATTTGGAAGAGACCTCAATTACTGTTTTTCAGGAATGTCTGATCATAGATATGGAGATGGTGGGTCCAGTTTCCAGAGCACCACAGGGCACTGTGTACACATGAGGGGGTTACCTTACAGAGCCACTGAGAATGATATTTACAATTTTTTCTCACCTCTTAACCCCATGAGAGTACACATTGAAATTGGACCCGATGGCAGAGTTACTGGTGAGGCCGATGTTGAATTTGCTACTCATGAAGATGCTGTGGCAGCTATGGCAAAAGACAAAGCTAATATGCAACACAGATATGTGGAGCTCTTCTTGAATTCTACTGCAGGAACAAGTGGGGGAGCTTATGATCACAGCTATGTAGAACTCTTTTTGAATTCTACTGCAGGGGCAAGTGGTGGTGCTTACGGGAGCCAAATGATGGGTGGTATGGGCTTATCCAACCAGTCTAGTTATGGGGGTCCTGCTAGCCAGCAGCTGAGTGGTGGCTATGGAGGTGGTTATGGTGGTCAGAGCAGTATGAGTGGATATGACCAAGTTCTGCAGGAAAACTCCAGTGACTATCAGTCCAACCTTGCTTAGATAGAGAAGGAGCTCTATACAGCTATTACAGAAACTTGAGCTGTACATTTATGGGAGGAGGGATATCTAGCATATCCAGTATGGTTGGTAAATGGGAAATATAATTGATTCTGATCACTCTTGGTCAGCCTGTTTCTTTTTTTTCTTCCTTTTTCCTTTTTTAAGAAAATAAAACCAACAAAAAATTATGTTTTACAGTTTTGCATTACAGGCTTGTGATTCATGCTTACTGTTAAGTGGAAGTGGGGATTGTTTTAAAACTTCAAGCTCAGTAATTTTGAACACGGAAACATTCACCTAGGATGTAACAACAAAGTTCAGTATTGACCATAACTGTTAAAACAATTTTCAGCTTTCCTAAAGTTAGTTATGTTGTAGGAGTGTATCTAAGCAGTAAGCGTATTTAGGTTAAAGCAGTTTCACTTATGTTAAATGTTGCTCTTATACCACAAAACATTGAAAACTTTGGATGCATGTTGAGAAACATGCTTTTCTGTAAATTTCAAATATAGGAGCTGTGTCTACGATTCAAAGTGAAAACATTTGGCATGTTTGTTAATTCTAGCTTTTTGGTTTAATATCCTGTAAGGCACGTGAGTGTACACTTTTACTTTTTCTTTTTAAAGATCTGGGACAATTTTGAGATGTAATACCAATACTTTAGGAGTTTGGTCGTGTTGTTTGTATGAAATTCTGAGGCTTTGATTTAATCTTTCCTTGTATTGTGATTTCCATTTAGATGTATTGTACTAAGTGAAACTTGTTAAATAAATCTTCCTTTTAAAAACTGGAAAATAGTCTTATACAGTTTGATGATGATTATATTCTACCATATGGGCACAGTATAATATACTTAACAATCCCCTGCTATTGACATTTGTTTTAAATTTTAATAAAACGTGAGCACCCTTAGACATAGTCTATCTTTGCATATATATTTCTCAGATATATTGCTAGAAGTGGAATTGCTGAGTCAATGGTGTATATATATATATATATATATATATATATATATATATATATATAGTTTCAAGTTTTTTAGATTCATTTATATTACCAAAAAGATTATGGTCATTTGTGTATTGCCAAGAGTACCTCAGCAATGCACATTACTCTTTTTGGAACTTTGCCAATTTGTTCATTGCAAAACAGTATCCCATTGCTGTTCTAAACCTGTTAATATTGAGGCTGGTTATTTTTCTATTTTGTTTATAAACTTACCACCATGTCCACAGGACTGTTGTGCTACCCTGAGGACTTTGTAGTTTATGAAGACCAGAATTCACCAAACTCCAAAGAAGTAAAATCAATTCCTTTCCTTTCATTTAACTAGAAGTAAGGCACCTATATGTTTTCCAAAGTAAGTGGGCCTGTGTTACATAAATCATTCAGTCTCTTCCATGAATTCATTAATGTTGTTGTTGTTGTTGTTGTCAGGTGCCATCGAGTCGGAACCGACTCATAGCGACTCCATGCACAGCAGAAGAATTCATTAATAGAGCCTACAAACACCCTTTGAACCTACCCGATGGTACTTAACAACAACAAACATCCTTTACTTTTAGGTTTTCAGGGCATCTAAAGGTTGTTTTAAGCCAGTAGGTCTCAAGCTTTAGTGTGCATCAAGATCACCTCTGCAGGGCTTGTGAAAATATTGCTTGTTGAGCCCCATTCCTAGAATTTCTGATTTCCTGCATTCTGGGGTAGGGCCTGAGCATTTGCTAATACTGCTGATCTCAGGGTTTGAGAGCCATCACAGCTCTACAGTGGCTATATAAACCTGCCTTTCCCCCTAAACTGCAACTTTAAAGTACAAATAACATCTATATATACTAACCTTGCGTCTGCCGTTAACATGCTGAACTACGACACCAGAGGTTATGTCACATGTCTGTCCCTATCGTAGAGCCTTTAGTAATTCTACCACCTTCAGGTCTGGATGTCCTCAAGCCAAAGTACTAGCTGTACTAGAATTCCTACTTATCTCATCAATCTGACCAGTCTGGAACTGGACTGTTAACTTTGGGTTGTTTAGCCCTTAGGACTCAAAGAAGAAATGTCCTAAGTCAGGAGACAAATACCAAATTGGTATTGCCTCAACTCCATTTCATTCGGGGACTTTTCATTGAGAACCATTTCTAGAAAATCACCTAACTAAAAATGCAGTTAGGTGGCGATTTAAGGGTCTTTCATGATTTCTGTTTTCTATCAGAGATGTCAGGAGACCAAGAAATCCATTTAGACTCTTGTTCCCTACTAAGCCAGCCATTACCTTGGCCTCTTAAGCCCTAAGCGCTTGACAAAGTTTTTCTTAGAGAATTCACTCACCAGTAGGTATTTTCCTTCCCCAGCTGGTTTTTTTTTTTTTTTGGCAGCGTGGTCTCTAAGTATGGATCAAAATTCTCTAGTTAGCCACTAGATGTCATCAAGTTCCAGGAAAGATAGTCTAATCCCTGAGAAAACATTTGGTTCATTTATTCTTTGCTGGATAAGACTTAAAAGGGTTGAGGGAAGCAGTCAATAGACTCTGGAGAAGGTCAGTGGACAGACTAGACATGTGCAAAGGGACAGCAGTACCTGGCACAGATATTTGTGTGTGTGTACTTGCGCAAGTCTACACCCATGCATACACAATCCTGCAACCCACCAGTGATCTTTTCCTCAAATAGATAACCACTGAGGAGAGTTTGCTGAGTGGTAAATAAGCAACCAATTGACATCCCACCAAGTCAAGATTCATTTTATTTTACTTTGGAGCGGAGGGGAGACATCCCTTTAACATAATTTGGTGTACTTCCTCCTTTCCTAACCCTTCTGAAATTTGTCCTTAGGTAAATACTGTCCTTTTGATCTCAAATGGTTGACCATTCTGTGGTGTGTGTTCCTCACTAGTGGTGGTGTCCCCTCTATATACCTATTGTTTGGCTGAAAACCGAGCCATGAAAGTGGATTCAGTTTCAGACCTGAAGTGTGACCAAGGGTTCTAACAATCTCTGTCTGACCAGTAAGCTTGGTCTTTGTTGTTTTGTTTTATGGTGTTGAGTTTTGGTCCACATTTATCCAGGACTTTACACTTTATCCTCGACTTTCTAATGTGATCCCTTTTAGAGAGATTGGTAGTGGTAGCCAGGCATCATCTAGTTCTGGTTTCAGGTTCATGGAGACTGATGTTCACATGGTCCATTAATCTATTGGACTAATTGTTTCTAAGCATCTTCGATTTTCATCACTCTTCTTTCCTCCAGGCAGAGAGAGACCAATATTTGCACCTTAGATGACCACTCAGGAGCCTATAAGTCCCCAGTTGCTATTCACCAAAGCAGATGTAGAACATTGTCTTTGTGATGACCACAGTGTCCCATGAGACTGTGGTCTTGAACCCCAGGGCCCCACAACTCTTCAAGGTTTTCGGTACTGTCTAATAAGTTTTTAGTAACTTTGCCCCCTATATGCTCCACCAAATTCATGGATATGTTTGCAGCAAAGGTAAATACTCAACTAAAAATATCCTCTGTGAAACCTTTATATATTTGTGGGTATACTCCTGTTCTTTCTTCCATACCCATTCAGCCTGCATGTCTATCCATGTATTTACCCGTAGATCATAGTTATTGCAGAATTGTGTATAAACAGTATTTTAACTCTGTTGCCTTTAACTCTTGCATTACTACTTTTGTCTTCCTACCCTTTAACATTCTTCTGACAATTTCCATCTTATATATTGCCTTTCCCTTCACAAGCTTTAGTGTCTATCCCTCTAGCCAGTGACTTATTTTAGACTGGGTATGTGAGATACCTAGCTGGATCAGGCAGACAGTTTGGTGCTATGATAATCTTGGCCTAATAGTATCACCAAGGAGCCCTGATACCATGTAGATTATGATCTGGGCTGCCAACCACAAGGTCAGCAGTTTGAATCTACCAGTTGCTCCACATGAGAAAGATTAGGCTTTCTGCTTCCGAAAGATTTATAGCCTCAGAAACCCTATAAATGGTCACAATGAGTCTGAACCGACTTGGTGGCACACAACCATCATCAATAATGTCTCCATTGATGCCTTGTGCCAGGGGTTCTAAGTGTGGTCCCTGGACAAGCAGCAGCAGCATCATCTCCTGGGACTTTACCAGAAATGGACATTCTCAGGGCCTACCCCAGACCCACTGAATCAGACATTTTGGGGAGGGGCCCAGCTTTCTCTGTTTTAACAAGCCCTTTAGGTGACTGCCTGAAGTTTGAGAAACACTGGCTTATGGGTAGCTTCCTTGAGTCAATCATTTATTCATTCATGCATTCATTCAACTTTATCCAATGATGAAGGAGATAACTAAAATAGAGACAATTCTATCTGTAACCATGACATACCTTCTCTGCCTGACTCTGCCTGACTCCCTAAGCAAACTGACATGGAAATATATTTTTAAATCATTGCTAAATCAAGGTCCTTTTCCTAGTGCTGTCAGCAAAAATGAGGATTTCTCCAAGATGGGCCTCAAAACAGCTAGCTGCCACATAGATGGAATTCCACTTATTGTGCCTGGAATAAAAAACAAGTAGAGAATGTCACGAGAGCGCCATTACCTGTTCTCAGACTGCCCCGGGGGCAAAGCCTTTTGTCCATGAAGCCACCAGGTTAGTGTGGGAGGAAGGATGCCTCCTGGGAGGTGGGTGGCTAGAGGATGCCTGAAGCCTGTGTATGGAAGCTCTCCAACAGGGATTAGCAGACTCATACATGCCTTCAGACATCTGTGAAGTTCCTGGAAAAAAAAAAAAAAAACCAACGAAGGATACTGAGAATCAAAATCTAAAAATCACAGAAATTTTTGCAGTCATTGGTTTCAGAACCATTTACCTATTTTAGTGCTTTGTATGGAGTCCCTGGGTGGTGCAAAGGTTAACTTGTTCATCTGGTAACAGAAAGGTTGGAGATTCAAATCCACCCAGAGGCACTTGGAAAGAAAGACCTGGCAATGAACTTCTGAAAAATCAACCACTGAAACCC